TTCGCCTGTTCTCGATCTCAAAAAAAAAAAAAGAAAAAGGATTACGTCCTCCCTCCGAGGCTCTGGCCTGGCTCTAGGCCTGGGTAGTCCATGGTAGCTAGTGACATTAAGGAGCCTGTGGTAACTTTGGAGGAGGGCATCCAGGCTGCCAAGCTGCACCACTCAGTACATACCTACAGTGCCAATTCATATATTCCGCAAAAAGCCGGCATGTGCCAGCTTGTCGTATATGTCGCTATGTATTGCAGTAAATTCACAATACTAGCTTTGTATTCCTGTGGTTAAGTAGCATTTTTTATTTTTGGCCGGAATTTTTTTATTCGCCCGCACGCACTAGTTTGGGGGTCTTCAGAGGATGTCATCCATAAAATTAAGTCTGTGTGGCCTCAGTTGTTGAGACACATTGCGACACATCCTTGAAGCCTGATTTAGTAGTACTAGTATTCTGGGTCTCTGATAATCCGAATTTATGTCAACTCATTTAGAAAGTAAACAAAAGTATATAAGGACCTGTATAGCCAAAAGCAAGTGACAAACAGACCGGCACTTTTTTGGTAAATTTTGCACTGAGAGGCAAGAATGATTAATTTCTGTAGGTCTGTTTATGGCTGAGGCATAATATTCATAATGATGATAATAATAGTATTGGCTCAATTACTATACATGTGTTACAAATTGTCTCACTCAATAAAGATCAGAGTAGTACTTGGCGGTGACATCTTTATTCATGCGTCGATTTGTCCGTGTTACACGCAAGATGTCAGGCCTAGTGCCATTTAGCTACTAGGCAGAACGAGCCACGAGGCAGTGGACAAAGAGTACAACTAGGTATGAAATAGGGTGCTCGGTGAACGAAAAGTAACAATAAGTTCGTGGACAAGACTAATTGGTTCGTTCTCCGCCGTGAGATATATCTTCAGAAATATACACAAAAACATACAAGGCTGTGAGCGGCGTTTACGCTGAGGAACTCTAATCCTAAGGATGACTGTGGCACTTGGGCCTACTACCCAACTTGATACAAATGTTTAAAAGACAAGTTGAATATTATAATTCGTAATATAAAATCTAGTAGGCTAGAAACTAGTCATGACATTAATAAAAGATTGACGACTATTTATAATATAAAGGTAAAGATGCCACTAGTACAATCCATGGCTCACATAAAACGGGCTAAAAACAACAAGAATGTGGCCTAAAGGGCACTAGATTCGTTCTGAGACTCGCTTCGGGCGATGTGATAGTCAATATCAGTACAGCGACGACCATCTGAACGATTTTTAAAATAATCTTCGCCGAGGCCACATAACTCGGGATTTAAGAATAATACAATGAGACGAAGTGGCACTACTCTAGGTGAACTACATAAAGTTAACTAGTGCAAGGTACTGGTGCACACAATTGGTGAATGTGACGAAAAAATTAACATAAATAAACTACAGTCTGTTGTGGGGGATGGCGGTGGTACTGCAGCGCTGCGTGGCAAACTGTAGAATGGAAGATTGTCCGTTCATGTCCCGACACGCTCTCTGCGGGGTCACGTGTTGGAGACGCATAGTCTCGCGAGAGTTTTCGTGCCAATTCCGTCATATGGTGGGACCATCTGAACATAATTGTCTCACTCAATAAAGATCAGAGTAGTACTTGGCGGTGACATCTTTATTCATGCGTCGATTTGTCCGTATTACACGCAAGATGTCAGGCCAAACCGTAGGCGCCAAGAAGACTCTGATGGGGATTGTCAGGAACGCTGCAGGATGAGTTGTCGCATCCCGGCAGGTACGCGTAGTCGTTGTTCCACGGATGGCCGAAGGTACAGGAGGTCGGCGTCGGATCTCCAGTCCCCGTGTTGCCTCCTTAATTCCCGTGGTACACCAGCCTCAAACGCAAGTGTGTACCCGCCTCGACGCAAGTCGTGCAGAGTATGATAGCCTTTAGGGAGACCTGCTTGCTGTACCAACCGGGCTAGTTCTCTGGTGAGTATCGCAGCTGTCATCGGTCGATACTGGCGGTGCCCAGCGGTCGGTAAAAGGAAGGCTGGGGCATCTGCTGGTGCCGGGCATTGTTTCAGCATGTTGGCGTAGGCCGCGACCGGGCACAGCGGGGAGCCTGGGATCATGAGAATCGGAACAATGAGATCTCTCTCGTTGGCTTGAATGGTTTTCGACCATGTCTGGCGGATGAGCAGACCTTCCTCTATGTAGCGTATGTCACCACGCCGAAGATACTTGGAGTTGTCGAGAGCGTTGCGGGAGTTGGGCACCAGATTCGATCTTCTCAAATATGCGAAGAAACCAATCAGAAGTGCTGCCCAAGTGGTGGCGTCCTTCAGGTTCGACAGATCGAGAAACTGGCGTGTCTTCAGAAGGAACTCTGGAGTGACGGGGTGGTGCTCTTTGGGTCTATGTCTGAGGGTCCTTTTCAGTCCTCGTAAGGTTTGCTGAAGTTCGAATTGCTGGAGACTGAAGTGATAGTGACCGTGGAAGTGGTGTAACAACTTTACCGCGGACAGGTAGTGTGAGATGGTGGCTGGTGAGGTGAGGGACCTGCTCAGAAACTGCGCGTAGCACGG